GCCTCGGTGGGCCACGTCCGATGCCCCGGCCTGCAGCGACGGAGCGCGAAGGTTCAATGGTGCCGGGGAGGGGAAACCAGAACACGCGGACGATCTGGCTAATGATAAGCGGGAGGGGGCGGGGTGGAGCGGAAAACGCAGGTTTGGGATTGTGGAACGAGAAAGGGGGCTGGAAGGGGAGGCCGCGGCTAAGGAACTGGGCTTGCTGGAGGGGAGTATTTGCATGCGACGCGCAGGGCACTGAGTCACCGCCGCGGCCGCGTCCTCTCGCTGTCCTGGCGATTTCTCCGGAGAAAGCGGAGCAAGGTCAACCGGGCAGCCCTCAAGGACGGCGCGCGCGGCTCCCGCATGCTGATGGCCAGCCGGGCGGCTCGCCCAGGCTTCTGGTACCCCAGGCCTGCAGGGAGGAAATTCGGGGACTGGCCGCTCCCTCCGCAGGCGTCCTTCCCCTCCCCGACTGCTGCGCGCAGCTGGTCATCAAAGAACCGGTTGTCCCCGAGATACTGGGACCTCGTCTTATCCTTGGAACCATTCGTAAATGCTAGCGGGTCGGGCAGTCGGTTGCCTTTGGGTAACACAGTCCCCAAATGCTTTTCATAAATCACTAAGCCCAGAAAGCATGCTTCAGAGAGCAGCCAAAGAAAATAAACACAGATGCAATGCGAATGTCGTGCCTCTTCAGAAATCGCCCCACCACCACCACGCCCCCCGCGCGCCAGGCTACAGCCCTGTCATCCCGGCACCGCAGTGTCTCTGTGCGCCTGCAGTCATGTGCCCGCAGCAGTCGGCACCGGGCGCTCGCCGGGTCCAGGGCACCTCTTCCCAGGGCGCTCCAGCCAGTCGGGCAGGTTCCAGAGTCAGACCGGAGATTTCGCTCCAAACGTAACCGAAACTCAAGCAACAGAGAGAAACAACTTGGGCAGGGAAGCACCCAGACTCCAGTACCCTCAGCAGTAGCGTTCAGTAGTTCCCTCTTGGAACTGGAGAGACCAAGAACGATAAAAGAGCGATAAAATCTCATGATTCTAGTTCTACCAAAAATTGAGAATTTGTGATCATTCACCCAAGCAAGGTGGAAATGGACCCTGTGCTGTGTATAAAGTGTTTGTGTTTGTTGTTGTTGTTGTTATGTGCCATCGAATCAGACCCGACTCCTAGCGACCCTTCCTTGGGTTTCCGAGGTGGTATCACTACGGAAGTAGATTGCCCAACCTTCCTTAGGAGGAGTGGCTGGTGGGTTTGAACCGCCAGCCTTCTGGTTAGCAGTCAAGTGCCTCATGCGCTATGCCACCAGAGCTCCCAAGTGTTTATGAATCATATCAATATTATCAGCAAGGTCATAGGTCTGCATCTTAACCATTTAAAGAAATAACAGCGTTCAGTGAGCCCATCATTATAATAATCCCTGCATGCGTCTGGTATCTCACACTTTGCAAGTGCTGGCTCCACGAATATTAGTGAATTTGAGCCTTATAGCCTCTGCTAACCCATTCTACAGTTGAAAAGACCAAAGCTCTAGGTGCTCAAGTAACCTGGCAAGAAGCGTTTGTGATCTGAGAGGTGGCTCTTTCTCTTGTATATAAAGTCGACAGAGCTGGCTTTATCCGTGTGCCACCTGTGCAGTGGCATAGGACCTGCACTTAGAAGGGCCCTGCTTGGTTTAATGCTCTGTTCTTTCCATCTTCAAATTCTTAATAATTCTTGAGCGAAGGGCTTCTGCGTTTCCCTCGGCCCTGGGGCACCATAGCCCTTCACCCAGGTGCCAGGTTGACAGAGTGCTGGTTTGTAACCCAGTTGGCCCTGGGTGAAGAATGCAGGAAGTGCTATCATCTCATCATTATTTCAGGCTAGGCCCTGCCTTGTTGCATTTCTTTTTCCACTAGTCCCCCATCCCTTTTAGGCACCCACTCTGAGCGTTCAATTTGGTTGCATGCCTCCTTGTCAAAACCAAACAACACAAACTGATTTAACATAAATTCAAAAGACCCTGAGAGCTTTTGAATTAAAGTGTGATACAGTTAGAGCAAAGTGCACAGATCATAAATGTGCAACTCACTAGTTTTCACAAGCTGAACAAACCCGTGGAACCAGATCAAGAAACGGAACATTGTCGGCCCCCCAGCACCCGCCCCAGGTGCTCCTTTCCAGTGACTCCCTGAGAGTAGCCACTGCCTGGACTTCCAACACCAAAGACCAAGGTTTCCTGTTTCTGTATTGTATGTAAATGGGATCATTCATTGTGTATTCCTTTGTGTCTGGCCTCATTCGTTCAACACTGGTGAGATTCATCCATGTTGTGTGTGGCAGTCAGAATTCTGAGATGACCCCAAGATTCCTCACTCCCTCCTGTACACATACATGCCTTCTCCCAGTTTGTCAATCAGACACCGATTGAGGTGCTGCCATGAAGGTATTTTGCAGATGTAATTAAGGCCCAAATCAGTTGACTTTAAAATAGGGAGACTATGATGGGTCTAACCTCATCAGATGAGCCCTTAAAAGGAACTGGGCTCCTCCAAAGCCCTCAAATCTCTCCGAAATCCCTCTGGAAAAGAGGGAAAAATCTTTGTTGGTGGTTTTTTTCTTTTTTCTTTTTTTTTTTCCTTTGTTGATGGTTTTGATAGAGGGGGCCACATAACAAAGGATGTGAACAGCTCTAGGAGCTGAGACTGGCTTTTGGATAACAGCCGGCAATGGTGGACTGCGGTCCTCCAATTGCAAAGAACTGGATTTGGCCAACAATCTGCATAAGTTGGGAGGGGGACCCCAAGCTACAGCATCCAATATGTTTATTTTAGCCTGTGAGACCCTCAGCACAGAATCTAGCAACACTGTGCCAAGACTTAAGACCTACAGAACTGTGAGCTATTGTGTGTTATTTTAAATTGCTAAGTTTGAGGTCATTTGTTTTCATAGCAATAGAAAACAAACACATTGTGTGTAGTTATAGTTTTGTTATTTATCCGTTTTATGTCGGTGGACATCTGGGTAGTTGAACCAGGTGCATGTCTCTCGGTGAACATTTGTAGTATATCTGCTGTGTAGCTGTATTGAAGGAGCTCTGGTAGTGTAGTGCCTAAGGCATTTAGCTGCTAACCAGAGGGTTGGCAGTTCAAACCCACCAGCCACTCTGCAGAAGGAAGAATGGGCAATCTACTTCCATCCATAGAGATACTGCCTCAGAAACCCAAAGAGAGGCCACTATGAGTCAGAATTGATTAGACGGCAGTGGGTTTGGTTTTTGGGTTTATCTGTATTGAGGAGTAAAATTGCCAGGTCATAGAGTGTGCATGGGTGCTGTGGTGGCTCAGTGATAGAATCCTTGCCTTCCATGCAGAACACCCAGGTTCGATTCCTGGACAATGCACCTCGTGCACAGCCACCATCCAGCTGTCACTGGAGGCTTGCGTCTTGCTATGATGCTAACAGGTTCCAGCCAAGCTTCCAGACTAAGAAGGACTAGGAGGAAAGGCCTGGTGATCTCTTTCCAAAACACCAGACAATGAAAACTCAACGTATCACAGTGATCTGATCCCATTGTTCACAGGCTGCCATGAGGCAGGGACTGTAGACAGCAGCTCACAAGAATGTGTGTATGCCCGTCTTTAGTGACTGCTAACAAATGGTTTTCCAAAGGGGTAAATTATTTTTTAATAAGTAGTGTTCTGGTTACCTAGTGCTGCTCTGACAGGAATATACCACAAATGGCATGGCCTTAACAAACAGGAGTTTATTCTTACAATTTGGAGGCTTTAAGTCCAAGTTCAAAGTGCCAGGCTCTAGGGACCTTGGGTTGCAGCTCTGCTTCCTGCTCCTAGCCCACTGAAGCTAGAGGTGTTTCTTCTTCATTCAGACAGCTGCTGGCTGCTGAGGCTAACAAACCCGAGGTTGACAATTAAAAGGACATAGTCCTGATGTTACCAAACCACACAGTAGGCCATTACTTCAAGTCCATTGTAAGTCCCAAGGTCAGCAGAGCATGGCAGGCTGTTGAGCACCAACATGGCTACATGCAGGGTCCAAGCGTGCCATAAGCTAGAGACCATTCCCCAAGGCTTCTGCTTATATACAGGAAGCAGACTACATTCCCTAAGGCAACTACTCAGCTGCTCCCAGTAGATTCCACCATGAAGTTGATTACCAGTCTTATCATGGGGAATAACTACCACTAGCTGCCCAGCCACTCTACCAGGCCCAGCCAAGTTGACACACAAACTGAACTACCACAAGTATTTTATTCAGACTTGTCATGACCTAATAAGAAATTGGTCTCACCCTAGCTGACTTTAACATGAACTGACTCATGAAGAAATGCTTGCGATCATTAGCCATTGTTGTTGTTGTTGTTGTTTGCCGTCGAGTCGGCCCCAACTCATAGCGACCCCTCCTTGGGTTTCCGAGGCAGTATCACTACGGAAGTAGGATTGCCCAACCTTCCTTCCGAGGAGTGCCTGGTGGGTTTGAACCGCCAGCCTTCTGGTGAGCAGTCAAGTGCCTTAGGCACTATGCTACCAGAGCTCCTAGACAGATGCAAATCAAAACAATGAGATACCATCTCATGCCAGCAATAATAGCAAAGTTCAACAGGACAGAAAACAACAAATGTTGGCAAGGGTGTAGAGAGATTGGAACTCTCATACACTGCTTGTGGGATGGTAAAATGGTACAACCATTGTGGAAAATGGCATTGCACTTCCTTAAAAATCTGGAAATAAGAATACCATTTGATCCACTATTAACTGGC